TATATAAAATAACTTAGACTACTATTCTAACAAAATGCAAAAGTACTATCATGTTAAAGACTTTGTAACTTTCGAACTAATATGGAGTTGCGATTTATTGCGGTCGTCTCTATTTTAAGTTGCAAATTATTCATAAACGCTACTGATCAATTGCAAAATTAATCCCCACATTACTTTTTATATGTAATTCGGGGATCTGGACAATAAATTAATCTCCTTATTTCTCTTTATATGCATTTCGGAATTCGGACAACAAGATGGAGTTTGATTTTTTAAATGGTTGGAAAAATGGAGACAAATTGTTCTCCTATCTATCCCGTTTTTAAAACATTTCAAACCGTGACATTATACCAATAAACCGATAAATTTTGTACCAAAGAAGAAGTTCGAAATTCATAGGAAGTGTCACATCCCAATTTGAGAGGGTGTTTGGGTTTACTTTTCAAAATGACTTTTTGAACTTTTAGTTTTTCCAAAAAGTTAAAAGTTTGAAAAACTTTTAGTTTTTCTAAAAACTTAAAAATTTGAAAAGTTGTTTGGTAATTCTAAAAGTCTTTTTAGAATGACTTTTTGGCAAAAAGAAAAAAGAATTATTTTAAAAGCTAGAAATTGTGACTTTTTGTGACTTTTGGCTTTTTAGCATTTGCTCCTTCAAAATATAATTCAAACACATTTTAAAACCTCCTTTTGCAAAAACCTATAAGACAAAAAGTCATTTTTATCCTGTGAGCAATGTAGTTATTCTTTAAAAAGAGTTGTTTGTATAATAATAGTCTTTGAATATGTTAGTACAATAATACAAGTCAAAACTTCCCAAATGGTCTTGTGGTTTTCTAAAATTTGGGTTTTAGTGCCTAACTTCAAAACTTCATGGAAGGTCCATATGGTTTTTAATTTTTATCGTGGTTGGTCGAAATTCATATAAAATAACATTTACATCCTTTTTTTTATTTTTTTATTTTTCTTTAAACAATATTATTTTAAAAAAATGAAATATGTTATTTAATATACAATGGTACCAGCAACAGCGCCGATCTTCGATGTATTGGTCGCTCTCTCATTTGGTTTCACTTATTTTCTCTAATGCGCTTGTCCCTCTGTCTCCTCTTTGATTTCTATGTTCCTAGATCCACTATTTATAGAACCATAAAGCGACAATGAAGTTTTAGGGTTTTTGTATAACGGTATAGGCAAATCTAAGATAAGCAACATCATAAGAGGCACAAACACACAAACTATTGGTTTATGACCACTAATTTCCTGAACTCGACTCAAAGTGTGACCTCCTTTAACAAATTTGATGAACGATTATGGTTGTGTTATGGCTATCTGACGAACAGATATGGTGTTTTTCTTCTTTATTAAGCATATATATAACTTCTAATGAATGATGGTGGTGGTGATATGGATATTTGGCGAGCAAATTCTTATCCCTAAAGGAGGCGGTGGATTTGGAAAACCGTGGTGGATTTCATCTTTGGCTCCAGTGAGACGTTGTGGAGGAGATGTTATGGTTGGGGGGGTGCTCAGTTACCTGTTGTCGTTGTGTCACTGGTGTCTTCAGACATGTTCTATCCGAAGATGCATCTCTCATAAGGAGGTCCTTGGATTTGTAGGTAGAGGAAGAAGAAGATGCAGTTGGATGAAAAAGAAGATGAGAGAGAGGAGGGGGAGGAAGAGAGAAAAATAATAGTTATGGTAGAGGGGTGGGGTTGGACCCATTGTATATTAAATAACATATTTCAGTTTTTATTTATTTTATTTACTTTTTTTTAATGTAAAATCAGTCAAAAGAAAATGTAAAATAAATTAAAAAGGGTATAAAAGTCATTTTCTGTGCGTGAGGCACCAACCACGATAGAAATTGAAAATAACAAAGACCTTCCAGAAAGTTTTATAAAGTTAGGGGGCTAAACCCAAAATCTTGGAAAACCATAAGGACCATTTATGATGTCTTGTCATAATATAATGAAAAGTGGTGTTGTTTCGAGGAAATTTGATGACTTGGTACTAATAAGCGGTTAGCCGATAATCGATATTTGAGACC